TTTTTTTTATGTTGGGGGTGCGGCTTATTGTCCGGTGCGGCTTATAGTCCGAAAAATACGGTATATAAAGTCACCTCCACTGTTCTGAAGGTTAGTGAAGGTTCCCAAAATGGCCTCGAAAAGGCCCACGGACCACCTCTTAATAGTCATGGTTGTAGCTTGTTTTGCGGCTCCAGACAAATTTTATTAGTGAGACGAGAATTGGCTCTTTTGATGGTAAAGGTTGCAGAGCCCTGGTCCCAGACCATGAAAAAGGCCACCCAAACTTAACTCAGCATTGGCTACAACCATTCTTGTGTTTTAATAAAGTGTCTCAGCTCTGAGGGTTAAACAACGATTAATATGTGAGGTTTTTTTAATCTACTGGTTCATGAGATGTTTTGTCATTTTTAATAAAAGTGATGCTTAAATCTGAATTTAAAGTGTTTTTTTGCTCCGTGCTGAATCTGGTGTAATCAGCTGCAGAGACAAACGTTGGTTTTCTAACAGAAACACGTCTTCAACCAGRCGAGTCCCGGAGCCTCACCTCAGCGATGCAGACGGGGCTCTCCGGTCCGCATCGGACGAAGTAAAACTCGCCCAGCTTCCAGACCTGGACYGGGCCGTCCGGCTGGGTTCTGCTGCTCACCGACTTGTAGAAGGCGTAGCTGCCTCGCTGGCAGGAGGGAGCACCGAGCCACTGAGGAAGAGGAGCACAGGAAGGGTTAATGATCGTGAACAGGTCCAGTCCAGAGAACTGAAGAGCAACAAGTCTTTGATTGATGTTTAAAGAGCAAAGAAAGAAAAATGATTCTGTTGCTGATGAAAAATGATTAGTTTCCACCTGTAATTCATGACACAATCCATACGAATAAAGACATAAAATAAAGTAGACTTTAATACAAAAAYAAACACTTCAGAGCTACGGTTTATTGATCAAATGTTTGATTTTGCTGCGCAGACAGAGAACAAGTCAAGCTGTCTGCAGTCATTTTCACACTAAATTTAAAGTTTCTGTCATCAGTCATTAATAATCTGAATTTAATCTGAAGTATTAAGAATAAATTTAACCGTGTGCCGGCCTCGTCCTGCAGCAGAAAACAGGAGTTTTAAATGAATGTGATGTTTTACATWTTGGAAAAGGAAAATACCAAAGTGATGAGAGCAGCGACAATAAAACTTAAACACCTCCCCGTGCTTTCCATCTTAAATTTAATAATAAAGTTACACAATCTTGTTTCTAGATGCACAATCCTCCCCTGAGGCGCAATATTGTAATATATTAAGCAAGTCTCAGAGAAAATGTTAAAAATTAACCTTTGGGCCCGCTGAGAACAACAGAACCAACTCCACATTCTCAAACAAACTCTTTTTTATCAGCAGCTGGAGGCCTTGAACACGAGGAGGACGTGTAGGAACCTGCAGGACCTGAAGCTCCTGCCTGGATGTTTCCCACATCCCGGCCGAGGATTCAGGTTCAGGACTCGGGTTGTAAAAATCAACTCAGCCACAGAAACTGAAMGAAGTCATTTTTCTGCCCTCAGCTCAGCGTGAAGGCCACATTTTTCCAGAAACGTGTCAGAAAGTCTTCATGAGGAGTGAGCCGTTCAGTCGTGAYAAAATGGTTTGCTGATGATGACTTCAGACCTTCATCATGTGACGAAACAACTTACAGCTCTCAGATTCTTCAAGCGTTTCAATCAAACACTCCCACGCTTTCAGTTTTACTTTCCGAAGGCTTTAAAAGGGACATTTCAGCTTTTTGAAGTGAAATTAGCATTTACCCAAGTCTTAAAGGGCCTGCGATGTCAATTTTTTGTAATTCATAAAAATGCATTTTTAGAAAGATATTGATAAAATRTTGCAAAAGAAATTTCCTGTTGCTGAGATGAACAGTTGTTGAGATACTTGTCAGTGAAGTAACAGGAAGTGATGTCAAAGGGGAATGTCTGCATGTGAACAGAACGTTGCTACAACAGACTGTGGAGAGCAATCTGTTTAAGATTATTTTGAGKCTATAGATGAAGAAGAGTCAGAGTTCAAATAATATTGTTTCAATAAACAAAGTCCAGAGAGTTTTCTTTGTTAGAGTTCCCCTCTGATGTCACTTCCTGTTTCACTTTGGCTGAGTCAAGTCCAAAAGAAAATATACCAGTTATGAAACAAAATGGATTAAATCGTATTATTTCAACTTTCTTAAATATAAAGATGTTTTCTTTGACTTTTTGTATTTTAAGAACATGCATGGCACAAGCTGCGTTTCCATTGACCATGAAAATGCGCAAATTAGAATTTAGAAAATAAATTTGCTCAATAAAAACACGTCAATTTCGAAAAAAATTACGTTTTTTGACAAAATGTTTTTGCGTTAGGATGAGGTGGTTTTTCGGCCRTATCGAAATTGGTCTTTCTCCGCAAAACTGCAATGGAAACATTTTTTTCGCATCACAGGAGTCACGTGATCAAYAACTGGCTGTTTCTACTGGTGAAAAAAGATGATGAAGAAGATAACAGGAAGTAGAAGTAGTAGTAATATCACAGAAGTAGTATAAAATAGTAAACTCACTGACTACAATTTCCCAAAAACACAGCATACGTAGCCGCTCCCAAGTAGGGACTTGTCTCTGGAAAGCCTCGATAAAAGACGCCGACGTCTCCTCTGATAATGAGCGCTAGTGCCGTGGTAGCAACATGCTATGTGTTTACATCCATCGCCGCCATGTTTGTAATGACTTATCGCGAGAACAAACGTATTCACGTGTGACTTTAACAGCATTTCATACTTAATGGAAACACCGCAGTTGCGAAACTGTGTTTTTCGACATTAACAGAATATCGACAAATTTTTGCGCATATTTGCAATGGAAACACAGCTACAGGCACTTTAAAGCTAATCTTTTTCTTTCGGCTGTTCCCCCCTGCAAGTGGTCTGAGGCCTGCATCCCGAGAAAATGCTTAAAGATTTAACAATTGTTTTTATTCGAACTGCCCCTCCTAACCTGGATCCACAGGGTCAACGAGCAACAAATATTCACAAATACACACAAGTCAGTTTACAGACCGGTTATTTAAAAACAGCTAAATTATAAACATAAAAGACTTTAATTTAAAGAAATTTACAGACACGAAGTTAAAGTTTAAAGTGGTAGTAGCTGAGAGTCATTTCCAACTCATACTCTGGGTTTTTTTAATTTAAAAGTTTTGAAGCAGGGCCGTACTTTCATTTTTAAGGAGGATAATTTGATGAATGTTCAAAGTGTCAGTTCTGATTTCTCTTTTTGAAGGTTTTGTAAAAGTTTGATTTTGTTTATTTCATTTAAAACATCTGAGAACATTATTATAAACACAAGACCTCAAACATACATGGGTTGTTTTACAAATACAAGGTGGATACGTATCTAGGTAATAGATCTGGTATAGGGGGAGGCTGGGGTCTTGTGGTATCTTGTCTCTGTATGGTTTCCTTAAAAAAATAAAAACACTTTGATAAAAAAACATCTGAGAACAGAGGAAACATCACTTCAAACCAAATTAGTCTGCTTCTAACAAGTGGCACAAATCTAACGTCCCAATTTATTATGAGACGTAATTATTTGTGAGCAGCTAAAATCTATTTATTCAGTCAAGTTGACATGTTCTTAGCATGTGCAGGAACTGGTTTTGTGTGAAACGTCTGTGTAGAAGTGCAGGGAGAAGAACAGATCCAAGTAAGAGAAAAAACATTCGGGTTTTTGGGTTTAGGTTTGGTTTAGAGGGTTGGGTTCTGCTGGGAATCAGAACTGAGCAGATTTTTCTCTCAGCTTCTGGAAAATGGTTAAAAACAAACAAAAAAGTAGCTTTTAAACAGATAAACGACGCGTTTGAGCTGCAATATTTCTTCCATTGTTTGAAGATCTTTGTTTAAAAACTCAAAAGACAGAAAAAAAAAGAAACAGTTAGTGGCTTAAAATGTTGCAATAAGCTGAACAAACTGTGGCCTTTTGTTAAACCAGAACAAAGACCTGTTTTTATGTTGGGCTGATATTTTATATGGAAATAAAAGCAGAAATCACAGGGAGACTAATTAAAATCTTAAATCTAGATTTATTTTAAACTTTAATAAAACATAAACTGATATTAGTTTAATGTAGATTTTATATTACAATGTTTTAATGGTTTAAAAAATGAATTATTTCTTGTTCAAATGTTATTTTTCATTTGTGTTCCTTCAATTCAACTCATCATATTTGACTTATTAATTTATGCTCATTTTTATGTTTCTGTGTGGTTTTTATCCTCTGGTGCCATTTTATTTTAGCTGTTTATATATTAAAATGTTCGGCTCATTTAGGAAATAACTGCTATGACTTTTAGTTTTTGTAACTTTTATACACTTCAAAATATTTAACTTTATTTACAAATATTTTCTCAAATATAAATATGTAGAGATCCCATCAATTCCTCAAAAACTCTTTGATTTAGTATTTTTTACCCTACATTTAAGTTTATATACTGTTTTGCTACTTTTAGCTTACTGCTAACCTTTTGATCCTTTTTTGATCCGTTAGCTATACATTAGCTACACTAACCTGAGTTAGACCTTTGTTCTTTTAGCTTCGACATAAGTTCAGCTTCTTCAGGAGATTTCAGTCGTTTACATTAAATTTTCACAGTAAAACTTAATTAATCTCGTCTGCAGTTTAAGATAAACATTAAATTCTTTAACATCTCGTGACCAAACAATGAAAGATCAGTTTAGAACAAACGTCTCATTGTTTATCTTATGAGCAGATTTATTACAGTTAATTTAATTATCCGATTATTGCCTTACTTTTCATACAAAAACATATTTTGCTTCTGCTCAAATCAGTTATTTGTGTTCATTTCTACATTTTCCCAGCTTTAATTCTGGTATTTTTTTCTCATWTTGTTTAAATTCAGAGTGGAAATGTAGATTACTGTTTTTCACAGCACTTCAGATTAATTTACGGTATTAAAGGATTAATTATTGTTGGTCACAGGTTTAGACATAAACCGATGACGTCATGCTAATTTTAGTTGAAGGAATGAGGTAATTTTAAGTATTCAGATTATGTCTTTAAAACAGCTGATCTTTCTTGTTTTTCTCAAGTTGACATGAAATGTTTAGGTTTTGGCCACAGAATCATCTGTTTGAGGAAAATCTGAAAGAGGAGAAACGACGTTTGCTGAAGACCTGATTTAATTTACAAAACATGAATCAGCAACTTTGAACGAYCACAGGAGGTGAAAATATTAACGAGTCATCGCAGCGAGGTAGTGACAGGTGATACTGTAACCATTTCAACACAAATACCTGATTATTTTACTGACTGAGAGGAAAAATGACCTGTTAAAACTCAGGATAGAAGATTTACGAAATATATATATATATATATACAAATACCTGATTATTTTACTGACTGAGAGGAAAAATGACCTGTTAAAACTCAGGATAGAAGATTTACAAAAAAAATAATTGTGTGTATATATGTATG